ACTCGGCATCGCAGATAGAATTCTTCGGATGTGACCTCTTTGACCAACTCCGCTTGATCTGCCTCACTACAGCGAAAACTTAAAAGATCTTGTAACTTCTCTACCGTGAGAATCTCAAGTCCCTCAGGTTGTTGTGTTAAGAAATCTTCCAAGAATCGGATAGCTTCTGATTTTATATCCTCCATAGATGTCAAAATCTCATTGTCCGGACCTTCTACTTCCCGGGTTGAGTTTTGCATTCTTCTAACCTGAGCAGAAAGGTGGATATAAGCATTGTTCCTCCAAGTTTTTGCCATTTATCGTATGCTCTATTTTCTTCCTCCATATTAGCCTGTATCGGATTCTGGAGAGTAGCAAGTTGCTTCTCACATAGATCTTCATAGGCTTCCTTTGTACGTCTTGATAAGTCACTCAAAACCTCTTTCCCTAATGCTCTTGCTGAAGCTTTAGCCCCTTCAAATTTTTCCCCAACCGAAACTGAGCACATGTCCAGACAATAATGGATTTGTTCAAGAGAAAATTTGCCAAAAATACAACAAAAAAAATATAATTTGAAAACTAACAAAAAAACCTAAATCCAATGGTCTAAAAATTGCGACATACCCCATTTAACTTTTTAATTTTTTTTTTTTGGTTATTCACCAAAAAAGGCCTTTGTTTGATCTCAATAAACTATTGAACCAAAAGCCGGCATGCTAGTAAGGACATTGGAGAACTTGAATGGTTTTTTTCTGATGACTATCATTTGTTTCCAGATTGAACCTCCCGCGTAAGTGATCCGCGTAAGATTCACGAGTTAGTGAGTGAGTTTATAGTTTCTGAGGTCGTTCAAGTATGTTTTAACTATACGTCTATATATACCAATTTAGTCAAGGTGTTGTTAGTTTGTTGGTCTTTTTGCTGATGCATATTTCTGAATTTGAACCAAATTCATCAAATGGCGGTAATACCCATACAAATTACAAATCATGTAAGTTTTTCCTTCTATATTTTTGTAACTAGCTTGTTACAGGTTCTTTTGGGTCGTACCAAAATATAGGCCCAGATTGAAACCCTAACCATGAACTATAAGTCTATGATAATCTATATGTATATTAATTGAGGAGACGAAAAATTCTATGTATCACTTGATGTATCTCTAAAAAATGTTTTGACCCTTAACAAACTTTAAACACTCAAAACTAAAC